CAACAGAAAAGTGCTACTCCTTAAAGACACCAGGAAGTTCATTTTCCATCTGTTCTTTTCTCTGAAAAGTTTATCATGTCACTGATAGAGCACTTTTACAATTTCCTGTTTTGTGTGTGTGTGTGAGAGAGAGAGACAATCTATCAGTAAGGTAATGATACTACAGAAAGAGAATGGATGTTAGGCTACAAGATTTGCTTTTATTTGAGTTCCTTTTTCCTCCATATTTTTGGGGCACTTAGTTTGAAACAGTGTTCAGTATGCAACTATTAGGCAGCTGGTGCACATCTTGATACATGGTCTACCCATAAAGTTTGGAGTTTGGAGACATTCTAGGGCAGCTCTGCTCAGTAGAACTTTCTGTAATGATGGGAATATTCTATGCCTGTGCTGAGCAATAGGGTGACCATTGGCCACATGCGGCTACTGAGCATTTGTCATGTGCCCACTGGGAGTGAACTACTTTTTATGTTAATTAATTTCAACTGAAATCATTAGTGGCTATTCTAGAGTACAACGTAGTTTTAGAGAACCAATGAAATTAGCAAAATAGTCCTGTGCTTAGGAAATAAAAGATGTTCAAGTTTTTATTATTGGCAATTGTATGGTCTGAAATAAATGATAGATTTTTAGTTTTAAAAAAATCTTAATTGAAAATCTTTTCAGTGGGCTGACACAATAAAGAGTCAATAAATAAATAACACAATAAAGAGTTAGGTTCCCTCTCATTTCCCCTCCCCCCACCATTATCTCAACTCATGCATTCAGAATAAAGTCACCGTGGCAATTTTCCCTGGTGATTGCCAGATCTGCAGACCTACCTTTTACAGCTGTATTGGTCTTTCTGTGAATTAAGAAGTAGAACGTATCTCTGTCTTACTATGGGTGCTGCTCTTCACCTTTGACCTTCCTGCATTTTTGAGCTGAGTACTCCCTCAGCCATGTCGGTGGCTTCCAGACTTCCAGCCTTTACTCACCCCTGGTCAAGCCTAGGATATTCCTGGGCACTTCCAAGAAGGGCCAGGCTCTCCTAGAGCCCTGAGGTGTCTGTGACTGTCTGGAGCCCTCCATGATTTCTGGCCCGATTGTGTTCAGGACCTGGTGTTCATTTATAGGTTCTAAAACAGGCATCACCTCACCAGAGTGGACTCACACGAGGGGTCTGACTTGTGACAGATGACAGACACAGTTGAAGGAGTTGAAAAATGTAGCACCCGGCTATTGTCTTTTTTTGTCTGTTTCTTGTGGTACCGGGAATGAACTCAGGATCTTGCACTTGTGAGGCAGGCACGGTGCTACTGAGCTACATCCCTGGCCCTTGGCTATTACAGTAGTCACCCCCTGTTTTGGAGGGATAGGTGCCAAGACCCCTAGGAGATGTTTGAAACCATAGACAGTACTGAACCCTGAGTCTGCTATGTATTTCTTCTGTGCAAACATACATACCTATGATAAAGGTTAATTTAAAAATTATGCACAGTAAGAGATTAACAATAATAAGAGAATATAACAATACACTGCTATAAAATTGCCACCATCACTGCTTTTGTGCTTTGGGGCTGCTGTTAAGTAAAATAAGGGTCACAAGCACCACAATACCTTGGCAATCGATCCCATAATCTAAATGTTGTGAGTAACTAGCATATGTCACATGGCTATGACAGGCAAAGACTGACTCACCTCGGGGGCAGATGGAGTGGGACTTGTACACGATTTCATGATCTTACTCAGAATGGTAATACTTTAAAACTTATGAACTGTTTTTAGAATTTCCTGTTTGCTCTTCCCTGACTCCAGTTGATTGCAGGTAACTAAGGCTGCAGAGTGTGAAACAGTGGATGCAAGTATACAGATACTATTTAATAAGCATAGATTTATTTTTGGTAGGGATTAGGCTAAGTGCTTTTCTTTTGTTGGTACCGGGGATTGAACTCGGGACCTTGCACTTGCGAGGCAGGCACTGGAACCCTGAGTTAAATCCCCAGCCCCTAGGCTAAGTGCTTTTAATCCTCACTTACCCTTGATGGCAACCACATGTCCTCTTATTTATATAATTTAGAGGTGCACTTAGGGAGGTTAAGTGACTCTCCTCAAGTTACCCTGGCAGGAAGTACAGGCATCTGATTCCTCTCTATGCTCTGGTTTTTGAGCTTACACTCTTTTTTTTGAGCTTACACTCTTAACCATAACAGAATCCATGATAGAAGAGGGAAAGAGTTTTGAACGTTAGTGCAGAGGAATAATCTAAAGGAGCTGGAATTTGAGTGATGATAACAAAGGATTTTCTAATATTTCAAGCTCTGCATCATCAGATAGCTCACTCTGTGAAGGACACTGTACTGCTCATTAGTAGCTCACAAACCTGGGGTTAATGCAAGGGGTACAAACATGGCAGAGAGCAATCTCAAGCTTGTGGGCACTCATGCATGGCAGATGAACTCCAGGGATCTTTCCAATTCAAGTTTCTTCTGATTGTAATTTCCTCTCCTGAGAACATTTATTGTTGATTTATCCCATATGATGACTTTTTAAATTTTCCATGCAATTCTTAAAGATCATTCCTTTTTTCCTGTGTAAAACCAGAGAGCAAGCTGCTCATCACTGAAATAGGATAAGGCAATTGAATCTCTCCTTGTAGTTGAGCCTAGGTTGGAATCCAAATCCCATTTCTTTGGGGTGTAAAGACTGGACTAGCTTGTGGAAACTGAAAGATGATTGCCAAAATTATTTTAAGCATTTGGCAGACTTTGTTTAACTTTGTTAGATATTAATGACAGGCAGGAGAGGAAGAAGGAAATGGCATTGGATTCCAAGGTACACAATGAACTCTTCAATAATTGAGTGTGCTATTATAATTTTAATGCATCCCTTGGTAGTATGGTGTGCTCTTATTTCTTATATGTTTTAAATCTGCCTTTAATTTTCTAGGTGAAGCTAACATTTGGGTTTTTTTCAAGTACATTTTCTGTTTGAAGAGAAAATGCATGGAATACACTGAAGTCCAAGTTTTGACATTTGTTTATATTTTCAAAAGTGTGTTGAGTTTCTCTAATCAGAACATAAGCAGTTGGGATATGTTATTGAGGATAACTTCATGAGAAGCTGTGGGTTTAGAGTTTTTTCCTTACAAACATTCACTTTGAAAAAAAATACGTATTTTTTCTTTTCTCTACCTGCTCATCCTGCCTCCATGCTCGGCTTCTCCCTATTGTGGCATCAGTAACCAGCCCTCTGCATCCCCCCACCCCAGTCTTACAATTTGTAGCAGTCACCAGAAGAGTTTCTACAGAATCCAAGGGGCTCTTACATTGATACATGCTTCCATGGATATGGCTGTAAATCATGACTATGAGAAAGTTTTCTTTCTTGAAATGATTATCACATGTAATAAGCTTTAGAGAGGAAAGAGTACATAAAAAGAAGTGGCTTATAGGAGGTGAAAATTGGGCTAAAGAAACACAAAGGATTGAGTGTTAGGGACAAGGAGGGTATGTGTTTCAGCAGATGGAGACAGAAAATTGAAGTGAACCAGAGTAGCCTGGGCATCTAGAAGGAATGTTCCACTTGAAATGCATGCCTTGAAGAAGTCTATGAGATTTTTAGGGAGGTAAGCAACATAAGCAAGGGAAAATAAGCTGAGAAGTGGAGAGTGGAGGATATGTTTTGTAAATGCTGAGGAATTTAGTTTATATCAGAGTTCAAAAATGGAAGAAACCAAAGTTAAGGAAGAAAAGTAAGTTTTAAGCTATTTGTGAAGACCCTCAAGTATCAAAGTGAACAGTTTGAAATTAGCTTCTCTGCGATTTGGGGTTAAGGTCTCTCCCTTTTCATTAGCTTGGTATTTTTCATCAATGCTGCTCCATATATATGTATATACTATCTCTCCCTCATAAGGAAAGAACCTTGGTCATATTTATTTTGATTTATAACATTAATGCTGAAGTGAGTCTAGATTTGTTTAATATATTAGTTGTTGACTATATAAATCACTAGGACTACATAGCTGTATTTGTATTTTATGTACTATTTATTTATGGCATTAATAATAAGTATGCCTCATCATATATATATGCTAGTGTTTATATGGTTTCTATATTTTGAGTTGGTTTAACAGTACACTTGCTTGGAAGATTTTTTAAAAAGTCTTTCTAGATATTTTAATTTGATCAGAAAATTAACATGGGGCCAAATCAGAACTCATTTTTTCAAATACTAATTTATCCACAAAAATTTGAAATTGCTGAGGCTCAGCAATCATCTCTACCTCTTCCTTCCCCTTTAGTTTACAGCTGAGGAAACCTGGCCTATCTCACAGTCAAAGTCGTACCCAGTTATCAGCAATGCCAAGGCTAACCCGCAGCTCTGTGGTATCTTTCTAACATAACTCTTACATAACCAATAAAAACAGAACACTTTGAGGACAACATACAGTTCAAAACGTTAATCTTATAGACCACATCAAAATGGATTAGTCAATCCTGAAATTTGAATACAATAATACTTTTATTTGTTAATACTTGTTAACAATATTACATTAGCAAGCATGCCAATGTCTTAAAAAAATCAGTTATTTTCATTACAAGTGATATTTCCAAATTCCTCTTAGCAAAGGTTAACCTGTGGCAGCATTGAGAACAAATAGAAGGGCATTCTTGACAATGAGAATATTTCTTTTTCTCTATATGACTGACTTATTTTAGTTTATAATCATGATTCGAACAATCTGGTCACTGGACCACCCAGGAGAATCAAAGCCTTAGCACTTGGAGGCCCATCAATAATCTTATGTGATAGTAATATCCTATGTGGGAGCATTGTCCAAAGTAAAATATAATTCACCTTATTAACAATTACAGCTAGCATCGTCTGTCTTATCAGGGCTCTACTCTGAGTACTTCTAATTGTGGCACCTTCTCCAGGGAGAGGCTGGTCTGGATTTATCTCCATCAATCCAGTGGAGGGAATGTTTGAACATTTCGCGTGTAAAGCAGCCCGCCTGAAAAATGACTTTTTCTAGATTCTAATCAGTGTTAATTCACTTTGGAGGGAAGGCAGTTTTCCCCCCTCTAGAAAGCTCTGGGTTTCTTTCCCACTCATGTCCGCCAAAAACATCAAACAAAGACGACAAAGAATAAATCAGGCTATCCAGCGCGGGGTGTTCTCTTGGGAAGCCTTATTGTTTTCTGTCCTTAGTTCCTTTTCTGACCCCTGCCAGCCCTTCAGGCCTGGGCTTCCCTGCGAAGTCCTAAGAGGTGGGGGGAACTGAAAAGCCGCGGAACCAGACGCACAAGGAGCGCCGCGGACGGGGGTTGGAGAAGCGAAGGGACCGGCAGGCCTAGCTCCGAGGCTCCGGTGGCGGCGGCGGGTATGGAGACCCTGCGGGTCCTCGAGCTGTACAGCGGCATTGGCGGCATGCACCACGCGCTGAGAGGTGAGAGAGGCCCGAACGCTTCTGTCTCGACGCGGAGTCGGTGCTGGGCCGAGCGCCGGCGCCAGGGAGGGGCGGAGCGGCGAGACCGTGGGGGGCGGGGCCGGGCCTTGCTCGGTTGTCCTGGAAACGGCCCGCGCGCCTCCCCCGGGATGGGTTTGGGTCTCCCCGCGGCCCAGCTCTGCGCCTCGAGGGCTCAGTGAAGTCGGACTGGAGGGCACCGACCCGGTCGGGGAGGGCGAGCGGCTGCCTGGGGCCGAGGCCTAGTCCTGAGTGCTGTCCCCAGAGGCTGGGAGGCCCGGGTGTGTGTGTGTGTGTGTGTGTGTGTGTCCGCGTGCGCGGGGGTGAGAAGGCTAACTCCAGTTTCAGGTACAAGTTAGCAAATGCTAAGCGGACTGTGGGGGAAACGGGAGAATCTGGGTGAGGCCTGAGGAAAGAAACGCCGCGTCTTCGGAGAACTGCGCTTAGATACCAGAGAGCTGCATCTAAGTTCAGGTTTTGTTGCGTTGTGGCCTTGGGCCCGTTTCCTAATATTGTTGAACCGGAGTCCTGGTTTTAAAGTGTGAAACGGTACATTTCAAAGACCAGTTAGTGGGGGATGAAAGATGAAGCGTGTGAAGTGGTTATCAGTACCCAGTATGTTGGAGACATTCACAGTATTTTGTCACTATTACTGTTTACTGGATCTCACGCACTCTGAGGCTTTGAATTTCTCTGGCGCTTGGGGTATGGAGTGACAAACTGCACGTTTATTCCCAAGTTACTAAGACAACCACAAAAGTGAAACTTCCCGGCTTCCTTTTTTAAATTTTTAGATTGTCATCTTTCTTTAAAGGTTACAGGAGACTAGCACTGTAAGATACTGACAATAACTAATGGATTGAGATTATAAATTTTCTGAGCAGATGTTGGGTTTTGATTATAGTCTGAGTATAAAATTTTTACTACTTATTTGATGGCTTCCTACCTTCATTGATACTAAAAGTTAATCTGCTGTCTTAATTTTGTAAGGTTTTATAATGTCAGCATTTTTCCATATCTTGATATCACTTAATGAACATGATTTTTTTAAAAATTATTTATTTATTGACACGGGGTCACACTAGGTTACCCAGCCTGGCCTCTAAGGATTCTCTGGCCTCAGCCTGCTAAGCAGTTAGGAGGACAGATATGTACTGTCACACCTAGTTATGAACACAGTCTTAAAGTCTGCATAATATTTTGTCATAAGCTGTCATCAACCACTCCTTAAGTGTTGCATATTTAAATTGTTCCTAAGGTTTGTTACTGTTTTGTTTTGTTTCAGGTTTTTTTGCAAATACAATGTGCCACAGTTACATCCTTGAAAAAAATTCCCGTTTTTCTATTGAAATGTGTTTTTGAAAATTAAAATTGATTCATTCAGCAATAAGTGTGCGAGTTACTAAGTGAAAACCTATGAAAGCACTTTAAGATTTTGGTAGATAAGATAGCACATTGGTTTTTAGAGCTTTTTCAGTGCCTTCCCAACATATTCATCAGGATTGTTTGCTGTCCATTGTTAAGCTTTGCCAGTTAGCAAGGGGACATTGTGCAGTTTTAACTAACTTCCGTTGGAGTGATGAGACAGTAAAGTATTTTCTCTCCTGTTACCGATGCAAACTGAACTTACATATTTTTCTGTTACTACTGTGAATCTAAGATGCTGTCATCTCCAGGGTAAGAGTTTGCCGGCTGTCTTTGCTTCCAGTCCCCCTTCCTCCCCCATCCATCTTGTACGAAGCAGTAGAATGATCTTTTTACGTGGTGAACCGGGTCCCGTCACTGCCGTACTTACATGGTTCTCAGGTTAGAATCAGGGTCACATTTTCTCTCCGGCCTGAGACCTGGCTTCTCCCTCCCTCGTCACCCGTCACTTGCCACTCACTCTGTCCCTGGTTCACTTCTCCAGGCTCCCTGGTCTTCCGCCTCTCTGTTCCGCAAACCTGCTGAGTACTTTAGTGTTCTGGCCTTTTCTTTTGCGATTGTCTCCACCCGGAGAGCTTAACCCCAGACTCTTCCACTCCAGCTTCTTTTCTCCTGACATATTTCAGTGAAGATGTGGCCTCTTCGTCTACAGAGCGGCCTTTCCTGGAATCCAGGTAGCCTGATGCCCTCCTTACCTCTCTGCTCTCTCACCTTTTGATTTGAGGTCCATGTATTGTTGATATTCCGTCCTTATCATATTGGTAGAAATGTTTCTGCCACACTTGTTCGCCTTCCAGTGTTCATTTAGTTGATGTACCAGAGTTTTAGCATTACCTGTAATAATACGCGTTGCTTCTTTCCACGTGGTTTTTATATAATAAAGACACAACAGTGGCAGCTAAGTCCAACTTCTAAGGACCTTCTAAATGTCCTGTCTTATTGTATTTATATAATCAGCTAGTTAATAGAAAAATCAGTATTCTAGTCTGGGACTGTCTACCACACCTTTTAACCATTGTTCTGGTTCTTACCATTATAATCAGAAGAAGAATCACAATGGGAATCATATTGAACTTCAGTGCTGACTGATTTCTAAAGTGGAATTCTTTATTGTGATAAAATATTCTGTTTCAGCCCTTTGAAAAGTATAGTTCATTAGCATTAAGTGCATTCACAATGTCGTGCAACCATCATCAATATTGGTTTCCAAAACTTTTCATCATCCCAAAGTGATACTCTGTACCCATTAAACAATAACTCTGTGTCTGCTTTCCCCACCAGTCCTTCTTAGCTTCTGTTCTTCTTTGTTTCCATGAATTAGTCTAGCCTAGTTAACCTCATATCGAAAACAATGTATTCGGGCCGGGGATTTAGCTCAGTGGTTCCGTTGCTTGCCTTGCAAGAGGAAGGACCCGAGTTCGATCCTTGGTACCAAAAAAACAAAACAAACAAAAACAATGTATTTTTCTGTGTGTCTGGCTTTTTGCACTTAATGTAATATTTTCAGAGTTCATTCATGCAGTAGTGTGTATCAGTATTTCATGCCTTTTTATGGCTGAATAATATTCTATTGCGTGTGTGCATGATTTTTTTTTATCCATTCATCTGTTAATAGGCCCTTGGGTTGTTAATGATGCTGTTAATGTTGGCATATACGTATTTCTTTTCAGTTCTTGGTTTCACTTATTTTGGGTGTATAACTAAGAATGGAATTGCTACATCAGATGATAATTCTGTTTAAATCTCTGAGGAATCACCAAACTTGTTTTCCATAGGAGTTCATTTTCTCCATTTCTGCAGCCTCTACTGTCCATTTCTTTTGGTAACAGCCATTGTAATGTGAATGTATTGATATCCCATTGTGATTTTGATTTGCATTTCCTTAAAAACTAAAGAGGCTGATACCTTTTAATGTACATATTGTGAATTTGTATTATCTTCTTTTTGAAAAATGTCCATTAAAGTCCTTAGCCCAAGTTGGAGTTTTTTTGTAGTTGTTGTTGAGTTATAGGAGTTCTTTATATATTCTAGGTATCAATTCCTTATCAGGTATGTGATTTGAAAATTTCTTTCTCACATTACTGACTTTTATTAGTTATAAAAATATGTTTAATTACTTTAACAACGTGATAGATTTACCTCAAACTCAGTATATCATTCTAATAACTCAATAAAAATCTTCAGCTTTATCAGTATCTGCAGTGTGCTGTTTGCATTGTCACAGTCACTACCTGGATGCTTCTGGGTTTACTGGACGTCAAGTACCTTCATTACACGAGTGTATTTACCCATCTTTCTGTGCCTCCATAGTCCACATCCTGCACTGCTCCTCTTTGTTCCTGTTCAGCCTCACACACAGTACCACACTTGTAACAGGCTCACCTTTGCTGACTCTTGGGTTTATTATTGAGTTGATAGTTATTTTACTGTAACTTCGATAAAACTATAGAGGGCCAACCCAAATTCTTTTTATTTTTTGGCACACACACTTCTTAGTTAACATAAACAGAAAACAAATGTTAAAGGACACTGGGAAACTCACGGAACCCACAGGACACCTCACATCAGGTTAGGTAAACCGGAGCACTGCCCGAGCTGCGGTCTGGAGATGGCCCAGCCCAGTGAGGCCCTGCACTGATGTCACAGCTCGCTTGACAGTGCGGGGCACAGGATGCCATAAGTGCCACCAATATTTTTCCCTAAAGGCTCAATGCCTTTACTACCTTCCTCACAGAAAGATAGATTTTCTCATTCGTTTCCTCACATTGCTGCTTTTGAATTGAGGTCTTAGGTGGATGCTAGTGGTTGGTGAGTACTAAATCCCATTGCCAGGCAAAGGAAGCTGGAAAAGTGAGTTCTGACTTCTGTCTCGGAAGAAAGACACATTATATCGCAGAAGTTTCAAGACACGAAACAGGCAAAGGGTCTAGATGGCCATAAGTGTGACAGTGTCTGCCCCATTTTTAAGCACATGTTGCCCCGTGTAGGAACTGCTTGTGCACACTTAGATACTGGGTGTGCTTGTATGATCTGGAAAGTGCTAATGGGAATCATTCTAGTGAAGACCAGCTCTTTACGGAAAGCAGAGAAAGAAGTAGTGCCGTGGTTTATGTCAGTGGAGCCTGCAGAGAGACCTGAAAATATAAACAAAGAAGACTGCATTTTTCTCGTTTTAAAATATAACAGGAGAAGAGTCGTTCAAGGGGACGAATTAAGGCAAACTCTAGCTGGACGGCTGTTGTCTATATAGTCAGGTATTGGAGACAGCTTTAAAAGCAGAGGTCAGCCCTGCTACGTCATTTCCAAAGGTCTTCATGGTTTTGATTTTGAGTTTGAGCTACCTACCTGATGCTTAAGCATATGTATTAAATGGGCCGTGGGCCGGGGATTTAGCTCAGTGGTTCCGGCACCTGCCTTGCAAGCACAAGGTCCCGAGTTCGATCCCCAGTACAAAAAAACAAAAAAACAAAAACAAAAGAATTACTCAGCCTTAATATTTTCTGTTAAAATGTTAAGCCTCTCATTTGTCACTCCCTAGTTGTCCATTTTCTGACTCT